CATTATCTCCATAGATTGATAAAGATAGATGAACAAATCAAGATTCGTAGTTAGGGTTTTTGTTGATATAACACAAAACACTTAATGCTAGAAACTAGAAACTAGCGGTAAAAGCAGGCAATTCTCCTTCTCTTGCCTTCACCTTACTCAAAAATATTGAAGGTGAGAATAAAAACTGAAAGATAAGTAAAACCAAATCCAAACTCTTAAATCACATTCTCTTGAGACTAGAATAAAAAAACGAAGGAAGATTCATTCCGCGAATCATCGGTTATGCTAACAAACCTGATTCCTAATCCGCGAAAGCTGCTAAATAGGGTTAGCTTGAGTTACTCGGCGTATGAACACATTGCATCTGATCTTTTTCCATCGGCTAATCCTACCTTCAAAGGTTGGTTTAAGTCATAAGCTCTCTCTTTAAACGTTAGACATCAGTATGCCAAACCGGGCGGTTATCTCCAAAGCTCCCATTCTCCAAGGCTGCAACTTTGGCCCTGTGAGCTGCAGACAATGCGGCCGCACTGTTCTTCCCTCTTTCCTCTTGTGTGTAATCGCAGGAATCGGTTAAAGAACCGGACTTGAGATCAGCTGGTGGTATAAAGCAGTCGAGAGATAGACCGGGAACATTAAACGCAACTTCTTCAATTGTCCAGCTTTCTTCCATCTTTGTCCTCGTGTGGCTCATTGCCACTTCTCCAAATCTGAAAAGGGTCACAACTGAATGTCCTGAGTGAGCGATCATGATCCCTTCGACCTGGCGGTAATCGTCGAGGGACGAGTTGTATGTGGTCTCCCAGAAAACAGTATCTCCACCATTGGATTGGATCCGCGTCAAATGTGAATCCTCGATGTGAACCAAGAGTCCTGTTTTCTGACTGAAGTAGCCGAAAAGGACGTGCCTTATGATCTCAGCCGGTCCTTCGCTCCTCGCCTTTAAAGTTTCAGGGTCAGTGCATAGCTTCAAAATGAAGCAATCTTCACCATTCACTTTCTTCTCTCCTATGCACTTCGCTTCCGCGAACATGGCCGCAGTAGTCCTCGGATCAAGTCCCTAAATCATTTACAAAACCAGTAAGGATCTCTTAGATCTCTCGAACTACTAAAATATCGAAAAAACTGGGTCTTAAAGAGTTTTTTTTACCTGAAGTCCACGGCGTAGAGGCCTGACGGGTCCTTTAGCGGTATGAGAACCAAGCCAAGGAGTGTGTCGCCATACGAGCTTGCCATTGCAACCAGCACGAACCTTACTACCACCTACAGCTAACTCAACGTACCACATGTCTGGATTCATCTGCCAGAGAACGAAACCTCCAGTCTCAGCCTTAGATGGGTTTCGATTCCTCACTGTTCTTGTAGCGGTTTCAAGCTCAGAAGTTATCATCTTGAGTTTCCCCATAGCATAAGCGTTTTTAATGGAGTTTTGTAGCTTTTGACCACCAGAAGCTGCAGTGTACTGTTGAAGAATATACTGAGCAGATGATGATTCCTGCAAGAAACACACATCACCGGAGAAATAACAAGAATCAGTGAATGGTGATGAACAGTGAAAGTCTTGAGAAGAAGAAACCAAAGGAAAATTAAAGTGTTTTTGTTTATTAATAACTAAACTAGTTCAATATATTCATTCTCCAATAGTTGTAGAAATTAGAAAAATATCAAATCCCACCAACGAAAATGACGTCAATTTTCACCAACCAACGACCAATGAAAAACATTCTCAAGAAAGAAAAATTCGAATTAAAAAACAAACCACTGAGATTTCAAAATGATAAATTTGTATACAAATTAAGAAGAATGAAAAAAAAAACGAATCGAGAACTGAGATCTTGAGTCTGAAATGTACTAAATTAATTAAAACCCATGAAAAAGATGACATTGATGAATAATCTGAGCTCAAAAAGGAAGAAGA